CTCTCTAGGCTTTAACTTTTTTTAAAAAAATGACATTTATTTATTTTGTGTATATGCAAATATGCACATGCCACAGTAAATGTGTGAAGGCTAGAGAACAACTTTCAAGAGTCAGTTCATTCCTTCTTCCAACTGGGTGCTGTGGATTAAATTCAGGTCACCAGGCTTGGCCTGAAGTGCTCAGTCTTGGTGCTAAGTACCCTTTCCTGCAGAGCCCTCTCCCTCTCCCTCCTCTTCTCTCTCCCTCTCTACTGTCTGATTCAATGAGGAGGTCTGTTCCTATGTGTTGTTCCCAAGAGCTGCAGCTTGAGCCTCACTGCGGTGACAAGCTCCAGTGATAACAGCAATAGCATCAAGAAGGGGACTGAAGGGACCCAGAGAACAACCCTGGGGAAGAAAATCATGAGCTGAGGTACCTGAAATGATGAAGGACAGTGGAAGGAGAGAAGGCAAGAGAAGCTCAGCAAGACTGCAGAAGATGGAATGCTTTGAAGACCAAAAGTGGAAGATGGTAGGCTGTTGTCACTGAGAGCGTTCCAGATTTCTTCCAAGCTGCAAGAGTGGGGGACCCAGAACCCAAAGACCTGCAAGGAGCTTGTGATGGTTTTTATATGCTGGGCCCGGGGAGTGACACTATTAGGATGTGTGGTCTTGTTAGAGTAGGTGTGTCACTGTGGACATGGGCTTAAGACCCTCACCCTAGCTGGCTGGAAGTTAGTCTTCCACCAGCAGCCTTCAGATGAAGATGTAGAACTCTCAGCTCCTCCTGCACCATGCCTGCCTGGATGCTGCCATGCTCACATCTTGGTGATAATGAACTGAACCTCTGACCCTGTAAGCCAGCCCCAATTAAATGTTGTCCTTATAAGAGTTGCCTTGGTCATGGTATCTGTTCACAGCAGTAAAACCCTGACTAAGAAAGAGATACTATTGGGAATTTAGGGCTCCAATGGCCAGGACTGAGAATTGTAACAGCAGTCACTGTTAGAGGCCAAGAGTGTCAACTCCGAAGACTGGAGGCTTAGCTGACACTAAGTGCTGCCAATATGAGTAGCTGTAGAGAGATGGGAAATGTGCCAGCAATGGCGAGCCAGACTCAGGTAACAAAGGCCCAAAGCAGTAAACATCTTCCTGAGCACCTGGAACTATAAGTCTCTTAGCTTCTGAGGCTCAGAGCCATAAGTAACCACTGAGCTAACTCTCAGTCCCCAAACTTACAGTGTTTATGAGCTGAAGTGACAAGCTTTCTGAAGCTGTTGTCCCAATCCTGGTACTCAGGGGCCTGGAATGCCAAATCTTACTCATGACTTCTTTCTAACTACAGAAAAAGACTCAAGCCAGCTGACTGGTAACAAATTACATCGAGTATTTTATCATGAGGATGAAAGGCTGGCCAGAAGTGAGATGAGAGATTCAGAACATTGTGCATTGTTGTGGGGTGTCCACCAGAAAAGAACACTCAGACACAGGCTCAAGCCAATAGAAAGTATTAGCAGGTTGGCAACTACACTGGGTGTTCATAGTCCTGAGCCTTTCAGAGGGTAAGCTTTTAATTCCAACAAACTAACAAACAAACAAACAAACAAACAACCCACATTCTGGGTGACCACAGCTCAGTTAGCAAGAACAGTTAGACAGAAGCAAACAGAGCTAGAGAAGCCAAAAGCTAGGTTAGTGCATTTAGAGACTTTGACAGAGCTATGGACTCTGCTGGATTAGGTCCATGTTCTTCTTTTGGAAGGTGGTACTTGCTGTCTACCTGTTGGGTTCCAAGGCCTCAATGATTCTTCCATTGTGTCAGTTATGCTAAGGTCTGAGGCCATTTGAACCATGCAAACTCCATCCGAGGGAGCTCAGTTATGTCCACTTACAAGTTATCATGCTGCCTATGGTATACAGCTGTGCTCTACTTGAACAAGGTCTCTGGAGGGGCTAGAGTATATAGGCTGAGGAAGACTAGGGGATGGTGAGGGCTCGTTTCTGGTCGATAAAGGCTTTTCAGATAAGACCTTTGTGTGTAGGAGCACCCACACCCCTGTAAGTGACTCCTTATCCATTCTCTGTAAGGAATCCCAATAAAGCCATTGATCACCCAGTATAAACCTTGGTAGAATCATGCCTCAGTTTGTCATTGGAATTTTAGGTTGAGATAAATTTTGTTTATATTTCCTACAGGGAAGTAATTTCAGCAACAAAGAAATATAAGGAGAGGCATGCTTTTAATATCAGCATTGGGGAGGTAGACCAAGGCAAGTAACCTCTGTGAGTTTGAGGCCAGCCTGACCAAATAGCAAGTTTCAAGCCAGCTGGAGCTACATGATAACACACACACACACACACACACACACACACACACACACACACACGGGGCGGGGGGGAGGGAGAAACAAAATGAGTTCAAAACCGTGAAGGATAACAGCCTCTGTGATAGGAAACTGCAGGGAGCATGGGAGGATTTAAGCGGGAATGGAGGCAGGAGGAGAGGAGGGGGAGGGGAGGGGCAACCCAAACCAGGTGTATATATGAAAATGCAAAAATAAATTAAGAAAGAATTTTTTTAAAGTAAAGAGATACTGGTGGTAAGTAACTTAGCCCAATTTGATCTTCTCACCGTATATAAAAATATCAAAATATTATATTATTACCCAGAATAGGTAGAATTATTGCCAATTAAAGCTAAAATTTGTCCTGCATGGTAGTGAACACATGCAATCCCAGGACCAAGGAGGCTGAGGCAGGAAAATCTCAAGTTCTAAGCTAGCCTGAGCTATCTAGGAGGTTCCAGGTAAGGATCTCTCTTGAAATGGATATGTGAGTGAATGTATGAATGAATAAATAAGTGATACTAATTTGAAAAAGAAAAACTGAGCTAGTAAGATGACTCAGTGAAGCTCTTGCGGGAGAAAACCTGAGACTTGAGTTAAGAATACCAGGATCCCTGTACAGGAGAGAAGTGACTGCTCCAAAGTGTGCTTTTGTCATGGCTATCACACACCCCTAGTCACAATGTCACACAAGAAAACATCAACAACACATTATGGTCTAACACTCACCCTCACCTCCCTTAGAATAGCTGTAGCCATTTTGTTCCCTGCCTGCCAGCTATTTCATATTGTTGCTGTTACATGCCTGCCAGTCATTGACACAGAGAAGTGACTGGGCTTACAGCAAGGACATCCTGACCACACACCCTGTTTTTTTCTGTATGACTGTTCTGTATGAGGTTGGCTAATCTCTTTTTTTTTTGAGACAGGGTTTCTCTGTGTAGCCCTGGCTGTCCTGGAACTCACTCGGCAGACCAGGCTGGCCTCGAACTCAGAAATCCACCTGCCTCTGCCTCCCAAGTGCTGGGATTAAAGGCGTGCGCCACCACCGCCCTGCTGAGGTTGGCTAATCTTAAGAAATTCCACAAAACTTTACATAGGACCCATCAAATCAAAGGTCAATATGAACTGTTATGCCTAAAACAGCTTGAGTCAGAGCTGACTACCGGGCAGTCTTTCCTGTATCTATGTATGAGCTCACTGTGGTTTTGTGGCTAACACTGAAGAATGCTACTAATAAGCCCAAAATTATGATTATAACATACATGTTCTGTCATCTCAATGCTCTGCAATTCCCCTGTTCATCACTCCCCTTACTGTACTCAGGGTCAATGACCTTGACAGTTACTTTGCCTAGTATGCCAGCTGCCCCCCTCCTTGCCCTTTAAACTTCTGAGCCTAATTTTTCCTATAAAATGTCTACCCTGAGAACAATTAGTACCACAATTAGGCTTCCAAGTTTTTTTTTGCTGTCCTGAATGTTCAGTATTCAATGTTCAATAAACTATTCTTGCTTAAGATCAGTGTTTGTGTGGTTTGGGAGGCGATTTTTGAACCCCAACACACACACACACACACACACACACACACACACACACACACATGTGCGCGCGTGCACGTGTACCACACCATTGCAAAACAATAAAATAAGTACATCTCTACAAGCACACCCCAGAATAACTTTTCTAAAGATTAGTATGCCTTCAAAACAGAAATACAGTTCAAATACAGAATGCTAACCCATAACAAGCCCCCGGGAGAAGCTAAAAAGTGGGATTTCTAGAGAGCTACTTCAGCCAAATAAATGTGTCCATTAGGTGCTCCTGACACAGTACTGTGCTAGATTGTCAAAGGCAACAAGGGTAAGAAACAGCAACTGTTGCCAAGAGTGGTTGCATATTACTTGGAGAGGCACAAATTAATCACTCAATTAAGTAAGTATAGACTGTAGGTGATTTTGGCAATAAGGAAGAACCAAGGGAGTTCCTTTCCTAAGACGTTCTCTTTAGATCATCTTCCCACACGCGGAGGGAGGTTAGGGTGGTTGCTACTGTAGGGTCCCTTTAAAAAAGACTGGCAGGATCCCAGCAACCACATGGTGGCTCACAACCATCTGTAATGAGATCTGATGCCCTCTTCTGGTGTGTCTGAAGACAGCTACAGTGTATTCATAATAAATAAATAAATAAATAAATCTTTAAAAAAAAAAAAAAAAAGACTGGCAGGCTGAATGTAGTTTACATAAGCCAGGAGGCAATGAAAACCTCAAATTCTTTTGGGTGCTGTCGTTGAAATCGAGTCTTCATGTTCTACCAATTGTGTTAGCTGGCTCTATTATTTTATCTACCTATATACCTACCTATCTAACTTGAGGATCTTATTTATTTATTTACTTATTTATTTTGAGGCCACTCTATGTAGACCTGAAACTCGATACATACACCAGGCAGGCTTGTAAATCACAGAAACCCTCCTGCCTCTGCCTCCCAGGCCCTGAAAGCAAAGGCGTGGTCTAGCTACCTAGACTAAAAGCATCTAGCATTCACGCATGCGCAAGAAGCGCCAGGAACGACCCGGATAAAGGCGGGGCTTAAGGGCCCGGATGAAACGTCACGGCGTGCGCGTGCGTGACGTGACTGGGGCGGTGCTACAGGACCTTCTGGCCGGCCGGGATGCCCGGTCCCGGGGTGAGCATGGGGACTCCCGTGGGCGCCGCCTCCCGTCCCACGGGCGCTGGAAACCTTGAAGGCGTGGGGACCCCTCCGGGCCTGCAGACTGACTGCGAGACGCTGCTCAGCCGCTTCCAAGAGATGGACAGCGTGCGCTTCGAGGACTTTGCGGAGCTCTGGCGTAGCATGAAGTTCGCGACCATCTTCTGGTGGGTGTGCCTCACCCTCGGGTGTGATGGGGACGCAGCCTGGGTCCGCGACCTCCGCCTGGGCGGTTTCCGTGGGTTGCCCTTGTGCTCTGAGGGCTCGCCCCTCTGCATCTCCACAACCTCCATCCTCACCCAGACCTTTGCCTTTCGACCTCCTCGAATCTTGTTTTCCCTTAATGAATCTACGGTTAGAAACAAAGTATTCACACCGACGCAGAAAGAATTCATTTAGCATGCAACAGTTCACGTTGGAAGTGCGGGTTTGAATCTCTGTGTATCGTCTTTAGGTGGAGAAAGCCCAAATTGAGCCCAGTAGCCGGCTTTGACTCTGTCCCTAGCTTCACTAGCTGGTACCTTGCACTCACTCTCTTGCCTTGAGTTGCTTTTGCTACTCCACTGGCGTTTCCTAGGGTGGGAAATTCCTATCTCCTTTTGCTTGTTCACTTCGCCAGTCATATTTGAACTCAAATGACAGTTCTTTAGGGAATTCTTTTGCCCTTTGGGACTGAGAGGCTGGAGTTCTAGCTTTCTCCAGCGTGAAGTGCTTATCTCGCCTGCCAGAGCTTATTTCGTAATTGGAGCGGCAGTCTTGGATAAAGGTGAAGAGCTGAGGTGATGCGGTCCTGGGCATCAGGTTCTGAATACAGCGTCCCAGCTCTTCTCTCCCAGATCTGGGACAAACTTTTTTGTCTGTAAAATAGATAGTAATACTTCATGATATTGTGGGAATGAGATGAACCAATATATTTTGTGGTTCTACATGTGAAATTAGTGTTCAGAGTTATTGCTACCTTTTGATTTCCCTCTTGACTCAATTTTGTGAGAACAGTGATGTGGTTAATGTGGTATGCCTTGTTTTTATTGGTTTTGGGACATGCCCTCATTGTGTAGACATGGCTGGCCTGAAACTTGCTATTATACCAGACTGGGCTTGAGATCTGCCTGTCTCTTTGTTCTTCTAAGGTCAGGCATTCACCACCTTGCCCAAGTTTGAATATGGTATTTGTATTAATTGCCATACCATATGAATAAATACCATATAAATTTTTTTATAAGGTTTTTTTGAGACAGGGTTGTAGCCTTGGCTGTCCTGGAACTCACTCTGTAGACCACGCTGGCCTCGAACTCAGAAATCCACCTGTCTCTGCCTCCCAAGTGCTGGGATTAAAGGCGTGCTCCACCACCGCCCGGCCCATATAAATTCTTGAAAAGGGTAAATGATTGAATGAAATCATACTAGAACTTTTGCTGAATAAAATAGAACTTCTTATACTATTGATGTAAATTATTACGTAGTTTGTAAATTGTTACAAATGAAGTTGTAAATTATTACAGAAGGTGAAATAAACCAGCTGTGGGGCTGCATTCCTTTAAGCCCAGAATGTGGGGTGAATCAAGGCCAGAAGTACAAGGTCATCTTAGCTACAAAGAGAATTCTGCAGGAGACACTGTCTCAAAAAACAAAATAACATAAATTATCTATTGTGCAACTGATGTTTTATGTAGTTAACTGTAATGCATTCATTGTCTAACGTACTTAACTAAGAACTCTGAAAAGCAGGTATAAGTGTCCATGTTTTACAGGTTAGAAAATTGAGGCTTAGAGGAAGTTAATTTTACCGTGTGTCATAGGCTTATAATCAAGAAGCTGAGGCAGGGGTATTGCAAGTTTGAGGTCAGTCTGGGCTGGAAAATGAGACCTCATCTTTTAAAACATCTAAATCTATTATGTCTTCCTGTTTACTTTTAAAATTTAATTAAATATTATTATTATTAATTATTATTTGAGGCAGGGTTTTATTATACAGCCCTGGTTGGCCTGGAAAGTACCAGGTAGATGGGATTAAAGATGTGCACCACCTTACACGACCTGTTGTCTTCTTTGTTTCTAAAATCCTTACTTTTCACTGTACTTAAAGAGGTGGGGGCAACACCAAAGAAATTTTTCTAGGTTACTCCACTAGAGAGAGGTAGTAGACTTCCTCTCCCTCCCCCCCCTCTGTTTTTCTCTGTTTCTGTCTCTCTTTTCTGACAGGATTTTTCTGTGAAGCCCCAACTGTCCTAGAACTGAGGACAGTTTAGATCCAGCTGGTCTCAAACTCACAGAGATCCCCCTGCCTCTGCCTGCTAAGAGCTGGGATTAAAGGCATGTGACACTGCACCCCGCTCACTCCCCCTCACCCTGGCTGGATTTTCTTTAGGAATCATTTTGGTCTCAACACTACCATAGGCCTTTCGTATTCTTTTGCTGTACTTATCATTTTTATTGTTTACGAGCCAAAATAGTCTCCTCCCCCATTTGTAATGAGATGTAATAAATTATATTAGCCAAGATGCTTAGGTCTTTACCATTTTATTTTGCTGTTACTAATATGAAAAATGCAACATATAATTATGTGAATGTTAGTTGTTTTCATGAGTTAAATGTGTTTTGAGGCATTTTAGCTAAGGTTGTACTTAAAGATTGACTTTGTGTCAATCTGTCTCTGTCTCCAGATTGCTGGGATTATAGTCTGGGCCACTACCCCCAACTTCCTGTTTTGAGACTGAGTCTCTCGTAGCCTAGGCTAGCCTTGACCTCAGTATGTAGCCAAGGATAACCGTAAACCTTTTGATCTTTCTATCTCTATTTTCCAGTTGCTGGGGTCTCTGTAGTGTGCTATTGTGTGTGGCTTTAAAAAATGGAGAACATTTTTAATCTGCCAATTTAAGACCTGTCACAGAACACTCTGATGATGCACTCAAAGTCACTCTCATTGTTTCCTTTTTCAGACTTGCTTTTGTGCTCTGATGAATGGGGAGATGGGTTAGATTGGGTTATCTCTGTAACTTTCACTTAAGCTTCTTGTGGACAGAAAATGATGAAAATCATGAAGACTACTGGGGAAACGTATGCTATAGATTAAAATACACAGAGTGTTTGAGTCTGTAACAAACAACACGATTATTTCAATATTAAATGCTTTAAGTACTGTATGAATTTCAAGCTTTTTCTATAGTCATCAGTTTGGCAGCAAGGCTAGTGTTTTGGTGGCATGGTTACCTGACAGTGTGTGGTGTTGAGGACAGTAGAAAATAAGCTCTTTCTGCTTGAATTACAAGAGGGTAAGGTGTGGATTCTCCATCTAGTTCCTAGTGGTTGGCTACAGAAGTATGGACAAAGGCCTTTGTTTATATTTATTTAACAGTGGAAATATTTCCTCTTTGTTTTATAGTGGCAAAATGAGAAATTTAAAAAAGAACATGTTTGCAAAAGAAGCTTTAGCTTTGGCATGGCGCTACTTTTTGCCTCCACACACATTCCAGATCAGAGTTGGCGCTCTGTATCTTCTGTACGGGTTGTACAACACACAGCTGTGCCAGCCAAAACAGAAGGTAAGGCCTGGTGATCACTGTCCCTGTCCCTCGGTAGAAACTTGTGCCAGGCACTGCTTTTGTTTTTTTGTTTTGTTTAAATAATAAAGGGGTTAAGTGGAAATAGCAGTGTTTAGGTTTACGTTTGTGGAAAAGGATCCAGTGTATTTAGAGCGGCTTTTCTCCCCCTGGCTGTAGATCAGGGTTGCCTTGAAGGATTGGGATGACGTCATCAGATTTCAGCAAGACTTGATAAATGCACAGCATTTCGACGCAGCCTTTGTTTTCAGGAAGCTTCGGCTTGACAGAGCCTTCCACTTCACAGCGATGCCTAAGCTGGTATGTTGCCTAAAATATCATTTCGTCTCTTTTCTGTTTTGTTTTTTCCAGACAGGGTTTCTCTGTGTAGCCCTGGCTGTCCTGGAATTCACTATGTGGACCAGGCTGGCTTTGAACAGAGATCCCCCTGCCTCTGCCTCCTGAGTGCTGGGAATAAAGGCTGCCGCCACCACCACCACCACCGCCGAGCTTAAAAAAACAGTCATTTTCAAAACAAGCAGTTATAATTCGTTATCCAGAGCCTGCTTTGTTCTTTTTTTTTTTTTTAAAGATTTATTTATTTATTTTATTTATGAGTACACTGTCGCTGGCTGTCTTCGGACACACCAGAAGAGGGCATCCAATCTCATTACGGATGGTTGTGAGCCACCATGTGGTTGCTGGGATTTGAACTCAGGACCTCTGGAAGAGCAGTCAGTGCTCTTAACCGCTAAGCCATCTCTCCAGCCCCCAAGCTTTGTTCTTTTGAAAATGGAAAGTCTATTAGTGGTGTTCAAAGCTGCAGCTCTTTTGCAATAAGAAAAATGTTTTCTGGTTGTTTTATTTTCTCTGCAGACAGAATTGAGCCTCTGCACTTGAGTACAGGGTGTTTGTGAACGACACATGTGAAGCTAATTACTGTGAGCAGGACGTAATCTGACATCTGTCTGTATCTGCGTTTTAAATCTCTTTCCAGAGCTGAGGGACAGGCCCCAAGCCGCATGCATTCGAGGCCGGCCCTCAACCACTGAGCTAACTCCCTCAGCCTTGTGCCTTCCTCCATTCGAATGTCAAGAGGGCTTACTTGAAGAATAAGGAATTTAAATCTCAGTTGATAAAAAATTGGAACATCTAATAAATCCCACCATTTCTTCAGTTTTGTAACAGTTGAGACACTAGATAGAAGAGCAGGTAGTCTCCTGGCAAATCAAGTGACTTTCTAAGTTGGGCAGACTCTATAGCATTCAGTGAAGCATCTACTAGTTAGAAAAACCCAGTGGACTCTGAAAAGGGCTGGTTAACAAGTGTGCAGGGAGAGCTGTTCTTGTGTAAATTTACTCCTTTAAAGATGTCCATTTAACAGTTTTGAAAAATTGTTACTGTTGTGCACATTTGTGTATTTGGCGATGTATGTAGGTGGTCATGCGTGTGCATACATGTACACAGTAGGACCACTGTGGTCTTTAGTCTCCTGTCATCTTGATGGGGATTCCCGGGAATCTACTCAGATGACCAGGCTTGCCCAGCGAGTGCCTTTGTCCACAGGGCCATCTCTCCAGCCCAAGATGTTCATTTTTAAAAGGCATTTCTTTGTATTTAGCTTTCATGTAGAATGAAGAAAAAAGTTCAACAAACTGAAGTGACACAAAAATTTAAGGACCCAAATGATCGTGTAATGAAACTTATCACTTCTGATGTATTGGAGGTGAGTTTGTTCTTATACTCTTGAAGTTGGGGAAAGTGGCTTTGTTGACAGTTAATATGTTGAGGTTATGACTTCATTAACTAGATACTGACAGTTCCTGTAATGTACCATATATCCTACAACTTGTAGTCACTTAGGAGAGTAATTGTATTTTGAGTTAGTTTGCCTTTAGGATTGTCATTAAGCCAGGCTGTGGTGTTGCACACTGATAATCCCAGCATTTGGGAGTCTGAGGCATACAAATCTGAGTTTTAGGCCAGCCTGGTCTACAGAGTGAATTTCAGGACAGCCAGGGCCACACAGAGAAACCATGTCTCAAAAAAAAAAAAAGAGGAAAAAAAGAAAGATATTTTCATCAAAGATAGAAATAAAGGACCGGGCTTGGTGGTACATGCCTATACTTCCAGCAGTATCCTGGGCTACATGGCAAGACACTGTCTTTTAGGATAAAACAAAACAAACAATCAGAAAACAAACAAACAAACAAAAAACACACATTGCATAAGAAGTAAAAGAATCCTCTTTTTACGTTTAGGAAATGCTGAATGTTCATGATCATTATCAAAAGATGAAGCATGCTATTTCTGCAGACAAGTCCATGCCAGACAAAGCTCTCAGTCTGGTAAAGGAGGAGTTTTTCGACAACATTAAGAACATAGTTTTGGAGCATCAGGAGTGGCACAAGGAAAGGAAGGTAAGCTGTGCTGTTCGCTGTCCCCCCTGTGGTATGTAAGCTGTGCTGTTCGCTGTCCCCCCTGTGGTATGTAAGCTGTGCTGTTCGCTGTCCCCCCTGTGGTATGCGCAGATGTTTACGTCTGCAGTGCTGTAGAGGCCACGCTGCTGCGGATGGAGACTGGAGGGCGTTACCTTCCTCGTTAGGGCCTTTTCCTTACTAGGCTTGGGGCATGACATTATTCAGTTTTACAGATGGGCTTGGGGGGAGAGTTAATATTGAACTATTTTTAGTTTAAACCCAGAATCTAGATTAATTTTGTTTGGTGCAGAATTCTAACATTGTTGTAAAACTTAGGATTCATTACCAACATGTAAATATTAGTGGACTACATCTAAAATTTTGGAAAACTACTTTTTCTCATGAATCTGAGGGTCTGGTCCCACCAGCTCCACTTCTGCATGGTAGGGGACACTGAACCCAGGTGAGGCTCTTCTCTGTCTCCAGCATTGTCTGTCTTCTGTGGCTTAGTTATGTGTCTCAGGATTTCATTGCTATGAAGAGACACTATGATCAAGGCAACTCTTATAAAGGCAAGCAAGCATTTAGTTGGGGCTGGCTTACAGGCCAGTCCATGATCATCATGGTGGAAGCATGGCAGCACTCTGGCAGATCAGGTCCTGGAGAAGCTGAGAGTTCTGCATATTGATCCAACGGCAGAGTTTGAGCAGTAGGAAACTTTAAAGTCTGCCTATACAGTGTGATTCACTTCCTCCAACAAGGCCACACCTCCTAGTATTGCCGCTTCCCGTGGGCCAAGCATATTCAAACCACCATACCATGGTTGTTTTGTTTTTTCTTCTTATTTTTAGGCACGTTCTCTTTATTTAGTCCTTGAATTCACTAATGTGAGTCTAGTGTGGAGTCCAGGTTAGCCTTGAACTCCACAGACATCCTTTTGCCCTGCCCCCCTCCCCGCTCAGTGCTGGGATTAAAGTTGTGCATACCTAGCCAGTTTTTTAAATGCCACAGGAGGTATATGGAATTCTTCATTAGTTAGGAAAGTTTATATGATTTAACAGTGATTTCTAGAACTATTGAAACTTTTTGGTCTAAAAAATGTTTTCACCCTTACTTGTTTGTGTGCTTGTGAATTGAGTGCTTATGGAGGTCAGAGGACAACACACAGGAGTTGGTTTTCCCCTTCTAGCATGTGGGGCCCAGGGTTTGAACTCTGGTCATCAGGGTGGCAGTGGATGTCCTAACCCACTAAGCTTTCTTCCCAGCACGAACCTTTGTAATCTTAGACAGTGTTTGGTTAGTTTTCCGTTAGCTCGAGGAAAGCTAGAGTCATTTGAAAAGAGGAAACCTCAACTGTGTCAAGTGCTTCCATTAGATTGATCTGTAGACAAGTCTGTAGGGCATTTTCTTGGTTACTGATGGGTGTGGGAGGGCTCAGCCCTCTGTGGTAGTACTGCCCCTGGCAGTGGTCCTGGGTAGTGTAAGGTAGTAGTCTGAGCAAGTCACGGGGACCAAGCCAGTAAGCAGAGTTCCTCCATGGCTTCTGCTTCTGTCCTTGTCTCCAGGCCTCCTGGGTCCTGCCCTGAGCCACTGCATGGTAGATGGGAAGCTGGGAGGTGAAGGAACCTTTTCCTCTCCGAGGTGCTTTTGGCCATGGTCTTAGCACAGCGGTAGGACAGTGCTGCAGTAATTTGAAACTACCTTCTGGTTTTACAGTAACTAAAAGTAAACATTCTTCTGTTAAAATTGTAATCTACTAATTATCTTTAAGTAACAGAATTATAAATGTGTATATATAATCATGTGTAAACAAAATTTTTGTTCTTTCAGAATCCTTCCTTAAAACCCAAACTTAAAGATGGAGAAGTGAATGGCGAAGGCACTTCAGAGGAGCCGGAGGTCAGCAGACTGTTAATGGCTTCTTCCCTTTATGTGGGACTAATTCTGCTTCATTAGTGTCATGCCCCTTGGGCCATATTGTGAAGACACAGGAAAAGTCCATTCTGTGTGTTTTGTGGTTGCTAGTCTGTTCTCCACATGGGCTGTGCAGGTCACTCAGAGGGCAGGTCGGGAGTGAGATGTTAGCGATTTGAGCCAGTGGGGCAGAGTGACAGGAGGTGCTGTCAGTTCTCGGGCAGGTAAGGCTTGTGCCCAGTGTTTCATCTGACCCATGGAGCCATCTTTAGGCACAGGCAGATGAGAGAATGGCTTAACCTAAGGCTTTTGTTACTCCTTCCTCCGTGAGCCTTGAAGGAAATGGTTCACCACCGAGGGTGGCATTATGTCACCTGCCATGTGGCTAGCCGAGGGTGTCACGTGTGACTTCTTATCACTGTGTACACTAACAGTCTTAATCCTGAGGACAGGTCCTTGGATTTTCAGTTTCCCTAAGGTTCATGTTTCACCTTGGCTTTCCTTCTTCATTTTCCTTCCAGAGATGTGAAAGAGCAGTGTCCTTAGCGAAAATAAAAGCAAAGGCGTTTTCAGCTGTTGCCCAGGTAAGGTCCTTGTTTAGTAAGTTCTTTCCTAGGTGGCACCTTAGTTTTCATCTACAGAATCCATATGCACAGTTTAAAAGACAGTACCAGCCATGCGGGCTGCAGCCGGGAGCCCTCACCGCCTGACCAGCAAGCCACCACTGCGGTCTCTCCTCTCCTCTTCCTTTTGCCTAGAACTCCAAAGGTGTGTTCCCTGTCCTCGGCTGCCTTCTGGGAGTTTGCTCTTTGTCCTTGAAATTCAGGACACCCTTGGCATTGTAATTGGGGTTTTCACTAATCATTGGCGTTTGCCAGAACATGGTTTCAGTCTGAGGAATTTCTTTAAATTAATATTTTGTATTGTACCATTTTTTTTTCCCTTAACCCTTTTTTTTTTCTTTGCTATTTTCAGTCCATTTCTGTTAGGATGTTTCTTAAATGTCATCTTATTTTTGTTGTTGATTCACTTTGTTTCTTAGTTTTTGTGCTGACTTCTTTTTTTTTCTTAACTGAGAATATTCTTATTCTCTGAAAATACTGTTTCTTTGAAAAATACTTTTGCCCTTTTTCACAGGATACAGTGTCTGTCATTAAGGATATTAATTTAATTACAATTTTTGATGTTTCCTCCTATTTCCTTTGAATCCTTTTCTCTTTTTATTTTGGTCTCAATTTTTTGTTTTTGGCTTTGTTCCAGAAGGTTGGAGCTCCTCAGATGTCTCTATTTGAGTGGCTAGTGGTGGTATGCTGCAGACTTTTAACTAGCTGCTTCCTCCATGGGCCATCTTGATTTGTTTTTATTTGCTTTCTTTCTTTTCTTTCTTAAATCCTAAACCTCTCTGGTATGTTCTTTCCAGAGAACCGTCTCCCGTTGTCCTAGGGAGGTGGTGCATGGCCCAGCTCTGAGGCTGGGGCCAGGACACAGTTCCCCGTGTCTCCCTGTGGTTGTAGTGCAATTCCTAGTGGGGTTGGCTGTCTTACAATGAGTTTCCTTGTGTGGCCATTCGTTTTTTAACCTTTTTTCTGTTAAGTTGGCTGTTACCTACTTTCCTATGCAAAATTATAATTGTGTTGTTTCCACTGTATGTCTGTTTTTGTGCTTTTCTGAGTTCTTTATTATTTACTGGAGTATTGAGAGGAAGTGAGTACTGGTAAATACATTCTTTTTTTTTTTTTTTTTTTGGTTTTTCTTTGGTTTTTCGAGACAGGGTTTCTCTGTGTAGCCCTGGCTGTCCTGGAACTCACTCAGTAGACCAGGCTGGCTTCGAACTCAGAAATCCGCCTGCCTCTGCCTCCCAAGTGCTGGGATTAAAGGCGTGCGCCACCACCGCCCGGCGGTAAATACATTCTTAATTTTTTCTTTAATGTTAATTTTTTAACATTTTCTTGGATTTTTTTTCTGTGAGTCTATATTATGGGAAAGCAAGCTCTCATTTTCCAACTGTAGGAATAGAAATTAATAACCAATGTTTAGGATGATTCTTGATTGGTTATCTGTTACATGATTGCTGTAGGACTATCACAGTAAATGGGTGAGTTGAAGGCACGCCAAAGAAGATAAACGGGTTGTATCCAGTTCTTTTTAACCAGAATTCTTTTTATTTATGAAGAGAATTTGTTGCCAAATAATGTCTGAAGTATATCTTATGACATCACATAACTCTGAAAAACTAATTATATTATACCCCACCAGTTGTTCTAGTGTATCATTGCAGGGCTGTAGTTCTTTTCCCTCTTGAGGTGCAGCTGGTATCTTATAGAATTGCTTTTGGAGACTCATTGATACCAGAAGTGCACTTACCAGTAACTGAAAACACTTGATTAAGCAAGTTTAGGAATTTGTGAGCTGATTCAATTAAAAAGTCCAGGAGGTGTGGTGGTGCATGCCTTTGATCCCAGTGCTCTGGAATGCTCTGGGCATCCAAGGCCAGCCTGGTCTATATAGTGTATATAGCCAGGGTTATGTAGAGGGACCCTGTCTCAAAACAACAGCAACAAAACCCTTGGCTTGCTGGTCTTACATACCATTAGGACTAGGTCTTCCTTCCGCATGTTTCCTGTCTCTTCAGTGCTGTTCATGATTCTGGCATTAGATTCAAAGCTAGTGTTTCCTTCCTGGTAGTTATAGTCCTAACACAGTGAATAGTCACAGCGTTGTGGGGATATTAAACCCATCTTGACCAGTCTGGGCCATGTGGTCATACCTGGAGCTAGGCAAGCCATGGGAGGTACCTGGAGGAAACATTTCTGAGTCAGACCTGACTTCTGACTCTGTGTCTGTGATTCATTATCATTCTCCATGATAGCAGCGGCATTTAAACCCAGTGTGACCTGGTGGCGAGGCAGTTGCAGGAATCTGGTTGTCCAGTTACGTGTAGTTCAAGCCTGTGTGGTAAAGGGCCCGATCGATGCCAGGTGTCCTGTTCTCCTCATTCCTGTGCTCTGCCCTCGGACCATTTTGTTTTTTACTGTGAGTAACTGGGTTTCTGTTCCCAAGATGTCCAAGTCCAGGAGGCATCGGCAGTCCAAGCTTGACTCTTCTGACTCTGATTCTGGGTCTGGACAAGTACAAGGCAAAGCAGCTAAGAGAAAGAGAACCAGAGAACCAGCAGAACCAGCAGAACCAGCCGGAAGGAAGAGGTCTTCCAGGAGTAAAGGTACTTTGGTTTTAAAAGACCTGGTGCGGAAGAGTAGGTCCTTATTTCTAGGATGGACTAGGGCTGGGTTAGTTGGAGGATATCTCTAATCCCAGCACTCTGGAGGCTGGAAGATTCCCAATTTAAGGCCAGCTTGAGCCACATAGTAAGATCCTGTCCCACAACAAGAGAAAGAGACTTGTTGGGGAAAATCATGGAATTTAATATTAAAAATGAACCCAATTTCATAGCTTCTTTGGCTCTTGTTGCTGACCCTAGAGATTATATCAAATTTGTTAGTCAGTATAACTTTATTAGTAACAATGTATGTGAATTAAAGTTACATCTAGGAAAGGCCAATAAGTAATGCATTCTAAAAACTCTCTCCTTCAGTGAAATTCATCAGACTCCTCCTGACTTTGGTTTGTAATAGTCTGTGAAATGTCCTCATGACTTGGTGCTTACACAGCTGTGTATTTTAATGATTTGATTTTTCAAGAATCGCACAGATGCTCAGCTTCCTGAAGTTGGGGCAGGTTAATGGCAGAAAACAACAAGCATTAACAGATACTTAGTGACTTCATTAGAACACTTCTGGCTACCTCTGGAATGCTCTGGGCATCCAAGGCCAGTGTGGTCTATCTAGTGTAGATAGCCAGGGTTATGTAGAGGGAGCCTGTCTTAAAGCAACAACATGCCCCCAGCCTCAGAGCTGGGCCATGCACCACCTCCCTAGGACAACGGGAGTCTGTTCTCTGGAAAGAACATACCAGAGAGGTTTAGGATTTAAAAAAAGAAAAGAAAAAGAGCAAATAAAAGCAAAACAAAACAAGATGGCCCATGGAGGAGGCAGCTAGTTAAAAGCCTGCAGCATGCCACCACTCAAATATAGAGAGTTTAGGGGTTTGAGAAGGAAACTTATGGGCTCTGAGCATGTTTTCTTTTTCCTGTATTGAGGCTGGGGAGGGAGAATTGAAGTATATGTCAGATAGGAGAATTCAGAGGAAGAAGCCTTTCCTTTTGTTAAGGGCAGCCAAGAAGCTCTTCACAAGGAAAGCTTGCTACTCAGAAGCTGGTGGGTACCGGGAAGACAACTGTTAGGACAAATTTGGGCATTGTTAAAAACAAAAAGCAAAAAAACCCAAGAGCAGCAAAACTTTACAGTATAAAACAGCCTCCAAGCTGAAAACTTCCTGAGTCCAGTTGTCCCTGGATGCAGTCATGGTGTAGTTCCCTGGGCCTATTAATATAATTTATCTTCTATTTGGCCAAAGGGGAAAATATATATTAACTTTAATAATTATTAGAGAAGATACTTGATGGTACCTAATATCCAACCTTGATATAAAATGTTCTCTAGATTGGGGGGGGGGGGCCAACAAACTTTCTGTAAAAGGTCCAAATAGCTGATATTTTATGAGCTTTGCAGACGTTATGAGTCATACAGTTTGTTTTTTTTTTTAATGTTTAAAAAAATTTATTTTAATTTCCTGTGCATTGGTGTTTTGCCTGTATGTATGTCTGTGTGAGGGTGTCAGATCTTCTGGAGCAGGAGTTACAGACAGCTGTGAATTGCCATTTGAGTGTTAGGAATTGAACCCTGGTCCTCTGGAAGAATAGCCAGTGCTCTTAACCACTAGGCCACCTCTCTAGCTCAAACCATACAGACAGGTTTTGTTTTTTTGTTAATTGTTTTTTTTTTCACAGCTTAGTTACCCAGCTACCAGTTTGTGAAAGTAGCTACAGAGAATATGAGAATAAAGGGATATATTGCAGTAGAAGTGTACTTCTAAGCAGGTGATGGGCCAGGTTCACCACAGACAACCATACAACCCTGTCCTGGAGAGAAGACATAGGTGCTCCTTTAATTTTTTAAAAACAGATAGATGTACAGAGAGAGCCTAACATTAGCCATGATACACTAGAACATTGCTTATGCAGAACTGGTTGATGTGAGTGGAAAATGAACTTGTACATTATCAGAGAAGCTACACACTTTTCATGACTTACTGTGAATGGCCAGTTTTATATGTAAAATGTATTCTAGGATCAGCTGGACAAAAAAAAAAAAAAGTAAGCAAAAGTTTTAGTAAAGTGAGGGATCCTTTTACAGAAGTCAGAGTTGGAAAGCTCCATAAGGAGATTCTGGGTAATTTTATTAGTCTAGAAAGTTAAATAACTAAACAGATTATAAATTTCTCATAAGACATGTGATAGAAAATCAGAATAGTCTTTTATCTAGTAAGGGGATGAAACTTCAAGATGCTGTACTGGAAATTTCTGTGCACTTGTTTTTTCCAGTCCCGGGGATTGATTGGTCTTGCATACACCTGCTCATGTCTATAGCTTCAGCTCTTTGAGACATGCTCTTGCTGTGCAGCTCAGGAAGCCTTGAAGTCTCCTGCTTGAGTATCCCTGTGTGCCAGGATTAGTCAAGTGCCATGGCACCCAGCTTATAGATGTTTAAGAAAAGACTGATGTTTCTGTGCAAATTCTTTCTGAAAATAGGACACTTTTTAGCTTGTTGTTACTGTGAGAAATAAACTAAAATCCAGTGTCTTTCATGAGCACACACATGTAGAATTCCTCCCTAGATAAAGCACATCAAATCCAGCAACCTATTGTATCCCAGGGATATGAGAAATAAGCCAGTGTAATTCGTAGTAGCTGATTAAAAGAAAACCTCTCAGTAGAAGATACTGGCAAGTCTAGTATCTGCTCATGGTGGGAACAGTGATGGAAATGGGACCTGATGGATTTGTGCAGACACAAGACTAACACTGTACTTCACTGTAAAACAACCCTCCTCTAAGGCCGAGAATGAAGCAAGGAAGCCCACTGATCCTATTGAACATGGTGCCAGAAGACCCAACCACTAGAGTAAAGCAGTAGTTTTGCTTGTGCCTTTTGGCAGTCGGCATCTTCTCTTTCCTCTGGTCCCTGAGTGACCACTCATGTTTTCTGTTCTAATAGAGGTGCCTTTTCCAGAAAGCCATATGAACAGAATTATACAGTATGTGACTTTTGTTGTTGTTGCTGTTGTTGTTGAGACAGGTCACATTATGTAGTCCTGTCATAGAGATCCACCTGCTTCTGTCTTTGGAGTGCTGGCATTAAAGGCACGTTGCACCATGCCTAGCATATGTACCCTTTGGGTTTGGGCTTTGACTTAGTTAATGCAGGTGTGTACCAGAACTTAGTTAACACATGTATGTACCAGTCCCACTGGTGCAAAGTCAAATAGTCCTCCAAGCAGGGAGTGGATAATTACAGGAAAGGTAGAGGAAAGATGCCAGAGACAGATATGGGAGGGCGGCAGGTCAGTACCGCACCAGCAGCAAGTGTATTTCTCATATAACATAACATATCTGTTTTCATCCAGAGGCCTCTCTGTTTGTTCCTCCAAGGTCAATAGAATCTTCAGCCCCTCAACTTGAGCCTCAGATGCACCCCCTCCTATTGTTCCATACCTCAGTAGGTCAGGAAATCTGCCAACAGGCTGAGACCTGCCTTGACTCTACCTGGCAGACTTTTCTTTTTCTCTCTCTGCTTCAGAGAAATAGGCAAACTTTTATTCTGCTTTTGGAACCAGGCAAATGTGAGAGTCAGCTGTATTGTTACTCATCTATGACCAGTTCCTGCACTGCCCATAGCATTTCACTGTCTGATGTCCCACTGTTTATCCAGTCACTAGCCAAAAGATATTTAGGCTGTTGGCATTTTCTGCAGTTGTGAAAAAAGCCATTACAGTTTTTATGTAAAACTTTTCTATAAACCTAAGTCATGTGATCCAGAAATCCCACATCTTGGGTAAATACAAAACTGCCACTTTTCCAAAGTAACTGTATGTTGTACGACAACACTTTCCCTGGGGAGACAACAGCATACACTTCTACTCACCCCAGATGATAGGGATCCAATGACAGACCAAACCAAGTATGGATACCAAAGTCCAACTTGGTCAGCAGTGAGTTTTATTGGTGTTATTTATAGGAACAGCTGCATCACCAAAGCCCACCGCAGCATAGGTGACAGCTCACAAAACTGGGAACCTGGAACAACTGTACAATATGTGATCAGCTCAACAGGTTGGAGAGTGTCCTTTTCAAGTGACACTGGCCTAAATCTCCTCCAGACAGCCCAGATGGTTTCTGCTTCTAGGTGGCTGGTCTAGTCTCAGAGTCTTGGCAGCTCGGTTTTTCTGAGAGTCTTCTTTGAAGCTTGGCTTCCCTTCCTCTGAGAGAGACTCACAGCTTTTATTGCTTACTCTGGCAGGGAGGGGCCTAGTGGATCTGGTCTGTTTCAGGGGCTTCCTGAAGCTTTTTTTGAGTTGTGTACCTTCCTGTTTGAAGAGCTTCCCTGAAGGATAAGATGTTTCAATCTCACAGGAAACTGTTACACAACACTACCATTCCAATTCCCACCAGAAATGGCCAGTTTCCACTTGGTTTCAGAGTCAGCAGCTTTGGCTATTACAGTGTTTTTCTTTTCATAACCATACAGGGTCAGTTTGGTCCCAGTTGACTTTTCCTTAACAACTATGGAGGTGTGTTCTTATGAGTCCCCTACCCCACATATTTTTTAATAAAAGATTTAAAATTTCTTTTCTATTTTATGTGCATGGATATTTTGCCTTCATCTGTTCCACATGTGTTTTCAAAGGCCGGAAGAGGTTATCAAGTTCCCGGACTTAAGGATGGTTGTGAACCTTCATGTGAGTCCTGGGAACTGACTGGACACTGGAAGAGCAGCCCATTCTAGCCCCTGATCAGTTTTTTCCAGTTGAGTAGGTACTCCTATTGACCAGTGAGAGTTACATATTTTGGATAGGAGATTTATCAGTAGTCAGGATTTTATTTTGCATATATTTTTTCAGAATGTAGCTGAATTTCTCATTTTTTTTATACCAGTTCTTACAAAGATAAGAATTTATTGGACATGATGGTACTTGCCATTAACCCTTACAGTGCTGAGGAGTCAGCTGTACAGAGGTTTCTGTGAGTTCCAGGCCAAACAGGGCTACATAGTGGGATCCTCTCTCAAGGAGGAAAAAAAAAAGGATAATAATTTAACTTTGTTTGTCATGATTTGTTTTGTTTTTGTGAAGACAGGACTCAGGCAGCCCAAGCTTACCTTGGCTCTCTATGTAAATACAGATGCCTTAAAATCCCTGAACCCCCTGCCTCCACCTCTCAAGTGCCGCTGCTACATACACACACTACCACATTGCCTTAAAAAGTGTAATTTTGAAGAAGTACAATTTACCATTTTTGATTTTATGATTTATGATTTTTGTGTTGCATATAAAAAAATCTTACCTGGGGACAGTTTTTCAGTGTTTTCTCCTACATATTTTGTAACTTGAAGCGCCACTTTCACGTCTCTGATACATTTGAATCATTTTATTATATATGCAAGTGGAGGTGGTTTTTTTTACTATGGGTGTAAAATTGTATTAACATCATTTAAGACTACCCTTTCTCTTTTCTCCAAATTGCCTTCACATATTGGTTGGAAATAAAACAAAGACCATTGAGGTGACCCAATTAGCTAGCCTTCATGGCCGTTATTTTAAGATTCTTACCCCTTGGTGTCTTCTCCTCTACCTTCCTCCCTCTCCTCATGGTTCTCCTCTGACCCAAAGCCTGGGTACCCCAAGCCCTGCCTGTCTCAATTCTGCCTAGCTATAGGCTATAGGCATTGATACTCCCCACCATGAATAACTTGTGAGGAAGGTCACATAGATTTGGGTCTATTTGCAGACTCTCTGATCTCTGGGCATAATCAGGCCTTATGGGCCAATATTTAGCATTACAATACAAGCAGCATCATATCAATCAACTACATACATACATACATGATGATGTGTGTAAGAAGTATTTTGCATTTATTAAAAAAACAAACAAAAAAAACTAGAGGAGCTGGAGAGATGGCTCAGTGTTTAGGATTACTGGCTCTTTTGTAGGACTCAGGTTCAATTCCCAGCATCCACATGGTGGCAGCCAGCCAGCAGAGGACTTGAAAAGGGTAGTGTTAGGGTGTATAGAGTGAGGCCCATGTTAGTTCACGTGTAAACAGTGTTAACTTTTAGTGATTTTGGAAAAGCATGATGAAGATTGTATCATAGCAAACGTCCTCAGCAGCCTAGGCTTAATTTGGTAGGCAGAGGTGAAGTGTATGAAAAACTTGAGCAAGAAAGTGACATGACTAGAGTTTTCCTTGAAACCAGGGACAATGTGGTAGGTAGGAGTAACAGACTAAAGTGGGGTGCTGCAGTGGCTCCCAGTTAGGAATGGTAACAGCCACTTGTGCCTTGCATGTAGGCAGGCACTAGAGGGCACCTGACGTGCAGATGAGCGCAGAGGCTGATGGGAGGAGACAAGCGTGCTGAGCATCTTGGCATACGGGAGGAGGATGCTGGGTAAATGCTGGGCGAGTATGGGCGGCAGGTTGTGGATTCATGTGGGGGGACGTTTGCTCAATCTTTCTGGCCAGATTCAATTCCTGTAATGTCTGTCTGTCCTTGAACTTCCTATATATATGTGTAGTCAGGAAAGACCTTCCAGTCCTCCTGCCTCCACCTCACTAGTGTTGGGGACTATAGGCTGTGGGCCTCCATGCCTGGTTTATGGTGCTGGGTATTGAACACAGGACAGTGTGTGTTTAGGTTAACTCTCTACTGACTGAGCTCCATCCCAGCTCGACTCTAGCATGTTTGAACATGGAAACTCACTGCAGAGAGGACTGGAGAAGGATGTGAGCATGTGTCTCGTGTAGCTAAGGAAAGGTGTTTGTATTCAGAATAGTCAAGTGGAAAGCTGTTCAATGGCACCCTGTTTTATGTAATAAAGATCAAATAAGGTGTCTCACAAGTTTTGTATCTTTCATTCTCTCTATTTTGTGTTATAAAAGAATAATATTCACAGCAGAGGGTGTTGTTGTTGTTTTTGTTTTGTTTTGTTTTTGTAGGTACAGGGTTTCAATATATATTTCAGGTTAGCCTGGAACTTTGTGGCCCAGTCATATCTTAGATTTGTAATCCTCTTGTTTCAGCTTCTTGAGTGCTGTGGTTGGTTGGTTGGTTGGTCGGTCGGTCGGTCTGTTTGTCTGCCTGCCTGTATTTTAATTAATTAAATAAGTAAGGCTGGATCTCACGGTAGCCCAGGCTGTCCTCAAAGTGGATATCCTGTGAGTGCTGAGGTTATAGCTGTATGCAACCACACTCAGTGACACAGAATCTTAACACTTAAGAAAAGATTAGACAGATGGAGAGAGGGGTCATCTAAGGCTGAGATAGTCACAGGGAAACCTCTTACTTCGTAAGCTAATTAGAAAATAAACATTTAAAGGATTTCTAGTCTGGAATGCATAATTGTGTTACTATAATTTCAGTGTTGAAACATCTAAGATCAGTATTCCTTGTTTCTGTATACAGTCATTTCTCACTATCTCTAAATATTCCTAGGTAGTATTCCGAATGAACGTAAGGAAGAAAAGTCTTTACGCCTGAGTATGCCTGTTATTACAGAGGAGGAGGAGGAAGAGGAGATGGATGGCTTCAGCAAAGCAGGTAAGGAAAAGTATGCATCTTGTTAGCTCCTGCAGGGACTTGGGCCTGCAGAGTCAGGGCTATGCCCACCCCACTACCGGCGACTCATTCTTCTGACCCTTGTCATTAGCCTGTCGGAACTTGTCAGTGTTACACTGGTGACCGTGGTCTCACTCCACAGCCAGCAAGCAGTGATAACATCCAGGTAGGATGTGGACGCCTGCAAGTGACTCTGCTGCTGTCACCACCCGAGAAGCTGCTTGCAGGCGCCTGCCCTGCTGAGCTCTTCATCCTGGATGCTTCTCTTCTAAATCTGTTTTCTTCTTCTTCCTGACACCCCTCTCCCCACTTCCTTTTTACTCTTCATTGATGAGGACTATCTCTCTATGTGTCTTTCTAAGGTTTTTGTTTCTGTGTATTTAATGATGGTTATTTGTGTAATAGCTATGGCATTTAGCTATGAGAGCCAGAAAGATGCAGAATACTTGAATGTGTGTTCGTTTCCAGGTTTCACTGTCATGGGATCAGACTCTTCACTTTCTCTTTGCACAAGCCTAGACAACTCAGTTTGGTGCCCTGGCGTCGTACTAATTGTATGGAAAGCATATGGAATTTCAAGCAACTTAGTAATTATGACATAGGATTCAGGGTGACTGAGATCTCCTGTCTCATTGGCATCTCAGTAAGATTGGAATCCTGTTGTCTCAAGGGAGATCAGAGTCTCTAAAATGCAGTTTCATTTTAGGAAATTCGCATGCATGTCAGCTTCAATTTTTTTTTTCTCTTAAATTTTAAATTAGCAACCATCTCTGTCTAATCTTAAGATACTTGTGTCACTGGGTATGGTGGCACACACTTAAAACTTCAGCTCTTGGAGGATATCCACTTTGAGGACAGCCTGAGCTATACTCTGAGATCTAGTCTCAATAAACAAACAAACCTTTAATCCTAGCATTCAAGAAGCTGAAACAAGAGAATTACAAGTCTGAGGGCTAACTGGGTCACATAGCAAGTTCCAGGCCAACCTGAACCATATGGTGACTTCATTGTGTCATCTTATAATACATAACACACACACACACACACACACACACACACACTACATTTTAGTGTCTATGCATGCATGGTGTGTGTGTGTGAGTGTGTATATGCGTTTGTTATTTATCTCCCTCACTGTCTCCTTCTAGGGTCTTGGCTTTGGGACGTTGTTGGTTGGGTTAGATTGTTTAACACATATGCAGGTGAAATGTGTATAATTACTTGAGCCTGTCATTTACATGTCAATTTTTAAAAACGAATCCAAGGACTTCTTAACCTTGTATCCACAGAGTTTACTGCACCCAAGAGGAAGAGAAAACATTGAACCAGGAGGCTGGTGGAGTTTTAAATTTTGAGCTTTCCAACAGAAGAAATGGTGTTATTTTGTGTTGTAAGCAGGAAGCAGCCAGTGAAGACTAAATCTGAGAACAAGATCATTTCTGTGAAATGGGAGAGCCTCTCATAGGCCAAGAGTTGGAGCAAAGGTTTACTCTGAAGCTTAATTTTAACATTTTTGTTAAAATTGTTAAAGGTCTGTATGAGTGGAGATAAAGTTTCTCTTACCTTTAAAATGTAATAGAGAGAATTATGCATTTGTGAGCTAATACTTTCTCCTGAAAGTTTTTGTGCTATCACCATAATATAGTACTGTAATGTTTATGATTCAGCTTTAAAACATTGTTTTAAAATACTGTTTATATATAAATGACTTGTATCTGTCACCTAGCAATGGATTTGGCTGTGGTTTTTGTTGACTATTTTGTGTTTTATGATTAAGTGCAATAAAAATTTTGCCCTCTTGTTCAGTCTTTTAATATGTGAAATTTTCATGGTCAATAACTTGACTGGAAACTTAGGAAGTTACCACAGCTTTTGTGCTTAATGATGTATTCCTTATTTACTCATTTATTTAGACAGGATCTGGCTGTGTATGCTAGGCTGGCCTTGAACTCTCCATATGAGTACTGCCTCGGCCTCCCCACTGCTGGGATTATAGATAATGTACTGCCCGACCTCCCTCGTTACCCTCTCTAGTGTTTGCTTTAAAGTCCCCATTGGTCTACTGTATATGAATACATAGCTACCTGCGTGCGTGCGTGCCCTTGTGTGCACATAAGATTAATTAACACGTTGTCTAATGCTTATGTACTGTCTAATAGCCCCATGGGAGCAGTCATGTAGATTCCGAAACGTGTCTTCGACACAGAGCTTTTGTAAGTCACAGAAAGATGCCTATGGTCATGCTTGTGCTGCTGCTTTAACATCTCTCCCTGGGAGTTCACGTGGAGATTTCTGTAACTGTGCTAGAGTACTGCCAGCACTCGGCCTCTGTGCTGTGTGGCTACTTCAGCCTGGTGTATAGTTAATTATTAAGGCTGAGTGGAAGAGGTAATTTCTAAATTGGATGATTGAAAATATATATCTTAGGTATGTAATATGTTAAGACCAAAATACTTGGATAAAACTTGGCTTTATTGTCCTGTTAGCTACTAAAAGCAGTTGTTACCTTTGTCTGACTTCAGCTCTGTCTGATAAGGGGTCGGACATTACAGTGTGAGCATGGGCCAGAGCTGCCGGGGTACAACACCAGAGCTTGGATTAGTAATGTACAGCTGAATGGGTTAGCATTGTACAGCTGGAACACTGCACCTGAGTTGTAATCTATTTTACACAAAGCACTTATAAAAGACGTGGTATCATTTCACAGACAGAGACGAAGGTGAGTAGCATATGCAGTATTTGCAGCAATACTTGTTATAATAACAAAAAGTTTGTGTTTCCCCAGATCACTGAGTTGGATCAGGCTAACCTTGTGGTTCACTTGACAGCTGATGAAACCCTCCTTCCCTTGTGTCAATTTTAATTAGGTATAATGAATACCATCTTCTCAACCTACCTTGGGTATAGTGAAAGACTGATACCTCTGTCTATTTGTCTGTCTACTTATGTATCTACCTATCTCCTGAGAAAATACCTTAAAAACAAACTTTTTGCACTGAAAGTTACTTTTATTTTTCTCAGGTTAGCTTTGGAAAATAATTGTAGTTACTAACGCCTCCCTTACCCTTCATTCTTGAATTAAATTACAGTTTGAAGAAGGCTTACTTTTTAAATGGCTTAGAAAGAACTCTGTGGGTGTTAAACTGTTCACATTTTCATTTATCTTTTGAGTGACTGTGTAGTAATTTTCATTGCACATTTTTTTTATTCTCTGTGTTAATGTAAATGTCAAAGCCCAGACTTGAGGTTGTATAATCCCTTTTATGTGATATTTTTAAATGTCTGAATTATTCATTCTACTGTGCTGTGTATTACAGGTCTGAATTTTTAAGAGACGTTCAAGCAGGCTCCTTTCAGTTGCAAGAAACAAAAGCATACTCCCACTATCGTAAATGCTGGAAGCTTACTGAAAGATTATGGATAAATAAGTAAGGCACCCATCAAAGACACAGCTTTCTCAAGGACTTGAGAAATAGCTATAGGCCTCTTTTACACCAAACGATGCTCTTAACGAGGGTAGAGGTCCGAGTCAGTTGTGACCCAGGTACCAGAGGGCATGGAATGACAGAGAAGGACCCATCTGTGGCAGCTTTCCTCAGAGAAGGTGAAATGGTAGGCCTTTACAGTCTCACAGGTTTCTCAGTACAGTCATGGATTGACAAAATGCAGTGTCAGCCTTGCACCTTCAGGATGTAATCAAGCAGGGACACAGCCATTCCCTCCACAGATGAGTCACAGTGTTGAAGGCCCTCAGCTCAGGGGCAGGCTAGGTTTGCTCTGGCATTTAATAATTAATGCCATCTGTAATAATTTGGGGCTGCATATACTGTAACATCATTAGGCTGGAAAAGGCTTCACCAGTGAATGCTTTATACCCAGTCCTTTCTTATAGTTGGCAAGTTTCTCGTGCTGGCTGGACTTGGGATTTACTGTGTAGCCCAGGCAGGTCTTGAACCTTCTATCCTCCTGTCTCAGTTTCCCAAGTAGGTGGGACTATAGACTGCCACCTAGCCTAACCATTCCTGTTTTCAACAGTCCTGTGTTTACTCACATAAACTTTATCCGCTGCTCTTTATTCCTCTGTGAAAGCCATCAGGACTGGATTTAAGATGGTTCTTTTCTCAGTCTAAAGACATTAACACTGACGTGTTTGAGGCTCAGCACTGTTGCAGACCAGTTCTATCGTATTTTGTTTGTCTGAAAAATATCTTCTTCATTTCTGAATGAAATTGTTTTTTCAAGACTTAGAATTCTAGTTAGACAGCTTTTTTCCCTCTTTCTGTCATCACTTGCAAGACTTTTTCCATCCCATCCTTGTCAGCCTGTGTTGTCTGTGGTTTGAAATTAGAATTTGTTCCTCCAGTCCCTTGTGTACTGTAATCTTTTTTCTTTGTGTTATATTTTTGTGTCTGTCGTCTGTCTGTCTGTCTATTTGGTGAGAACCACAGCCTTGCATACACTAAGCACATGCTCTACCAGGAGTACTTCCAGTCTTTCCCTGACTGCTTTTGTTATTGTATCAAATTCAGCAATTTGATAGATGTCTGGTGTGGCAGCTTTTTCTAACCCATGATGCATTCTGCACTGTCCTCACTTGCTTCTCTCTCTGCGACTTCAGTTATGTCTGCTAATTACTTTATACTGTCTCATGTACTGTATTTTGTTTTCTTTGATAATACTTCCTCCATTGCCTCAGAGTGCCTTTTGATTTCAGGTTTATGATCTTTCCTTTTCTTGTATTTGATCTGCTTTTGATTTTCTCCAATGATTTTTAATTTGGAAGCACCAGTTTTTAGTTCTGATTTCTCTTCGATCCTTTTTGTGGGTTTCCATCTTCATAGAAATGGCTCCTTTGTCACCTTCTCTAAGCATTTGTCTCTATGTAGTTGGTGGGGTGGGGGTTGAAACAGTGTCCCTCTCTCTATATATACATATATAAAAATGCTGTCCTGGAATTTGCTACGTACACCAGGCTAGCCTGAAACTGAGAGATCCACCTGTGTCCAGCTCTAGGATTAAAGGTGTGTGCCACCACACCCGTCACTTTTAAAAATGTTGTTTTTGAAGTATCACACTTTTACTGGATACAAAGTATTTGTCACATGAATATATCCTTTGCAGGGTTTGAACTTTGGACTCAGGAGCCCCATGAGTCTGAAGCCGCTGAAAACTCTGCTTGGTACTTTGTGACGTCAGCCACTAATTAGCCCTAGAATCACTGTATGTTGACAGAGAGCTGAGGGGAATTTATACTCATGTTTGGGGTGCTGTTGCTGGTGGCTCTTTTCAGGGATTTCTAGCCGTTGCTGATAGTCAGAGGAAGAAGACGAAGCTGTAAGGTGATGTAAACCCTTTCTTCCAGGTTGCTTTTGGTCGTTATCACAGTGGTAAGAGAGCAAACTGGGAAGCCATGTTACCAGAAAATTAAGTGTACTGTGTTAGCTTCAGCCTTTGAGAGAAGGCAGTGCCCCAAACAGGCATAGATCATGAATTGTTTATGGTAAATGAAATTTTAAGTGGTGTGAATTTTGCTAAAGCTTCAGAAGTTGATAACCCCTTTGTTAAAGGTTTTAGATGGCTGGTTCATCTTAGTTTCCTGCAGTGCAGTTAGTGTATTGCTTCCCTTGGTAAGTATACACAATTAGACATAGTTAACTGACTATATTGTCTTTGTAAACTTCAACTGTTTCTTTCCACTAACAGTGCAAGAAGATACTTTGTGTATTGTATTAAAAAAATGAAATACCCTGTCTTTTAAAAACCACCATATATCTAGAAAATCATCTTGTTTGCAGTTTGATAGGAACCAATCAAAAGATTTAATTTGTCTTTGGTGTGTAACAAAACATTGAATTACCAATGAGTTATCTATATGTATGTGCTATCAATGAATAACTCAATTATTCTTTCCATGTGTTTTCTTAGATTTACAAATATGATTTATTCCCATGACTGTAGTCTACAGCGATAGAACAAGCCTCTCTGCAATGTTTCTAGGTCTATGTAATTAGGATCTAATTGCTTCGGAGAAGAAATGAGAGAGTAGACTGTCTCCTTGGGGCTGTTTTACAGAATTTCATTTTGTTTTAGTCTTTGGTGGATTTATTCCTTTTTCCCTGATATTAACATTAATAAAGTAAGCAGAGGATTCCAACCAATTGTGCAGTTTGGGCGACCACAGGAAATGAGACATGGCAGGTGTGGGCTTCCTGTAAGACCTTGTGGAGCCCAGAGCTTGTGGCACTAGAGGGAGGGGCCAGGTCCAGCAGGGTCATAGTTTTATCCACTTAGGTTTTAATTTACATTTTATGTATTTTTATATAAAGTATAATATAAAATAACATTAAAATAATATAAAATAAATTTTTAATTTATATTTACATTTTTATTTTTATTTTGAGAGCATTAATAATGAGGTCTTTTTGATATTCTTCTTTGATCGTTTTTCTATATTTCATTAAAAGATTCAAGCAGAGGTATTTTACATCCCCTGTCTGATCATTGCAATAGCTGAAATTCAGCAAGTCAGCCATGTTGGTCTATAGTCCTCATCCCTGGTAGTTGGTCTTCTCACTGGGGATTTCTAATGGGAGCTCAGATTTTTTTTGCCCTGAATGCTGGGGCTTTATTTGATGTTTCCCATTAGAAATACTTGATGTCTGTGTTTACTTTACACCAGAAAGACTATTGATTTGGCCTTTCTCTCCCTCCCCCTTCCCCCCTCCTCTCTCTCTTCCTCCCTGCCTCCTCCCTCTCCCTACTCCTTTCCCTTCCCCTCTCCTCTTCTCCCCTCCCCTTTCTTCTCTCCCTTTCC